TGAATGTACTGTAGTATCATTCAGTAACTGAGCAAGTTCAAAGCGGAGCCAGTGCGGTTCCGTGCAACCTGGAGTGACTCAAAGTGCTCTGCCAATGGGTCTCTAATGTCGAAAATACCTCTCTTGCATTATTTTTTTTTATATTAATGAACAACTAGCGCGCTACGCTCAAATCAGGCTGTTCCTTTTTTTCGCCTTGTCTGTTTCACGCTACCCCAGAAGAGAGCAGCCCGGCGACAGAAAGCGAAGAAGACGGAGACAGTGCTGCTTTTGCACCCTTCCCTCTCCGTCTCCGCTTCCTGTTAAACTGCCCATCCTGGCCCCTTTCCACCCCCCTTCTTCTCCTCCTCGATCTCCCTCCCTCTCCCTCTCGGCTCCTCCAGGGTCTATGCAAATTACGTGTGTGTGTGTCTCTCTCTCTCCTGCTCCGTCAATTTCTCCCTCCCTCTGTCTGCGAAAGAAGTCTCTGCTGGCTAGGCTACAACAACAGCTCGACTATTGAGAGAGAGAGAGAGAAAGAGAGAGAGAGAAAAAGAGAGAGAGAGCAGGCGTTAGCGTACGCATCAATTTGTAGTCCTCGACAACGCACAGATTTTCCAACGCCGAATTCAGAGAGAGAGAGAAGGGGAAAGAGAGAGAGAGAGAGGTGGAGAGAGAGAGACGCGTCAAATTCAGCCTGCTTTATTTATTTTTTTTTTCTGACTGCAGCTACAATGTGACTGTTTGTGTTGTTATAGTTCATATTGTCCCCTCTCCAGCCGCTGCTCATGTTGCACAGTGCGAAGAGAGAGACCGCGAGAGAAAGAGAGTGGAGGAGAGGGAGGGAGGCAGAGAGGGAGAGAGAGAAAGAGAGAGGGGGACACATCGTTGCGTTTTATAGGTAGGTACTGAGAAATATGGGGGCGAAAAAAATGGAAGCGGTTTCCATTTCGTCTTGTTCTGTGGTGGGCTAAATGATGTACCTCTGATTGGACTAAAAAAAAAAATCTGTGTTTCACCCTACAAATCCCTCCACACACTCAGATCCGCTACATTGTAACCTGTTCAGGGAAGATAACGTGTGCCGGAAAACGATGTTATTATTCGGTTTGAATTATTTTATGTGTGTGTGAGTAGCAACCATACACGTAACACTCTCTCACACACACACAGAGAACTCGGTGTATTCGGCTCTTCGGCGAACACACTGTACAGTACAGTAGGATACAGTACAGTACCGTCTCGCAACAACACACGGAGCACAGCGATTCCGTGCCGTACCGCATCGTACATTGCTCAGCGTGAAAAATAGCACCCTGCGATAGACTCACATAGCCTTCAGTTATTTATTTAGATGGGGAACGAGTATTGCCTGCAATATACACGTCGTGCATAATATAGAATATGTATTTATGTGTTTATTTAACGTGTTACATTGAGTATTTTGAAATGCATGAGTGTGCATGAGTCTGTGAAGTGTATAACTATCATGTATCCATGCAGCTACATATTTATACAATATTTATGTATTCGGCACCGCATTATTTAACAATGTAGCAATCTATTTGTAGACGTGTTTATTATAATCAGTGGACTAACCGTACCCACTCTAGTACAGCATTATTGCACCGAACATGAATTACTGTACTATGCATCTGCAGTAGTTTTAAATTACTGGACTGGAATTGCTGTACTGTGTAACTGCATGGGTTTAACATCACTGGACTGGAATTACTGTACTGTGTAGCTGGACTGGTTTAACATCACTGGACTGGAATTACTGTATTGTATAACTGCACTACTTTAACATTATTACACTGAAGTTACTGTACTGTGTAACTGCACTAATTTAACGTCACTGGACTGGAATTACTGTACTGTGTAACTGCACTGGTTTAACATCACTGGACTGGAATCATTGTTCTGCTACTACTGCTAATACTTTTAATTTAAAAATAAAATTAAAAAATAATTCCTTATACTTATAAAGCACTTTTCTGGACACTAAACTAAAAGTGATTTACAGGTAATGGGGGATCCCCTCCATCACCACCAATGTGCAGCCCCGCCTGGATGTTGTGCCAGTACTCGCACCACACACCAGCTCTCAGTGGGGAGGAGAACAGAGTGATGAAGCCAGTTCAGAGATGGGGATTACTAGGAGGCCATGATTGGTAAAGGCCAGGGGGAAATTTGACCAGGATACTGGGGTAACACCCCTAATCTTTTCAAGACACTCCCTGGAATTTTAAATGACCACAGAGAATCAGGACCTCAATGTTATGTCTCCTTTCATCAGGACAGCACATTTTTACAGTATAGTGTCCCTATCACTATACTGGGGCATTAGGACCTGCACAGACTGCAGGGTGAGCGCCCCCTGCTGGCCCCACTAACACCTCTTCCAGCTGCAACCTTAGTTTTTCCCAGGAGGTCTCCCATCCAGGTACTGACCAGACTCACACCTGCTGAGCTTCAGACAGTTGCAGGGCGATATGGCTGCTAGCTTTTAATGTGGTACTGCGTACTTTAACATCACTGGACCAGAATTACTGCACTATGTTACTGTATTGGTTTAACATCACTGGACAGGACTAACTAATTGCATACTCTTATTCAAGTGGTAATGAATAATTTGACCATAATCATCTTTCACTCTTTTTGTTTTGCAGGTAGTGAATTTTAAGGACCAACGAAGATTTAGGCCGCGAACCAATTTTCAGATTGGATAACGTATTCCCTACTGCGACAAAACCAAAAGATCTGTGAATTTTGGGGCAGGGGGAGGAGGAAGAGGGGAGAAAGGCAGACAAAAATGGGCTCATTAACACACGGATCATGAAATCAAGGAATAGCAGAGATTCGGTAAGGGATTTGAGAATCAGACAGAAAAGTATAGAATTGCGATCCTGTTTTTCGTTCCATTAGCTGCGTCAGATTCTTTTCTAAGATCTTGTGAACAACAGGAGATGATGATTGCTGACCCTGTAGGCGCCACTGCGTGAATTCTGCAAGCTTTTACCTGTTTTTTTTTTGTTTGCCCACTGCTGTTGTGACTTCCTCTTTGCTTTGTCTTCAGACCGCTAGTGCAATGAAACTAGGTCTCTTTAATGTCCGGTCTGTCACAACCAAGTACTCCTTTCTAAATGATTTGATTGTCCGCGAAAGCATTGACTGCTTCTTCTTAACTGAGACGTGGCACCGACACAATGACTTCCTGGTTCTGAAATACTCCGCCCCCCCTGGTTATTTGTATCTGGACCAGCCCCGCCCCTCTAAGCGAGGGGGCGGATTGGCCGTTATCTACCGCTCATCGCTAAAGCTCAGACCCTTCCCCGTCCCTGCGGCGACGTCGTACGAATGCTTGGCGGTAAAGGCCTCGACCTCTGCACCAGCCATCTCGTTTGTGCTGCTCTATCGGCCCCCGAAGTACAACACTGCCTTTTTGCCGGAGCTCGCCGAGCTGCTCTCCGTCTTGCGCTCGCATTTCGACAAGATCTTGCTCGTAGGCGACTTTAACATTCACGTCGACTGCGAGACGGCGTTTTCCGCCGACTTCCTGTCGTTGTTGGACAGCTGCGGGTTCCTCCAGCACGTTAACGTCCCCACGCACTGCCGCGGTCACACCCTGGACCTCGTGTTCTCGTTTGGACTGCCCGTCTCCCATTTGGATGTAGTCGACCTGACCATTTCCGATCACAAGGCGGTGTTTTTCGAGAGCGTCTGGCCGCAGCTGGGCCTTAAGTCTAAGCCCCCCATGACCTTCCCCAGTATAAACTCTGCGGATTTCCCCCAGGTCCTTAGATCGTCGCCTCTGAACGTCACTGATTCAGCGCCCCTGGAGGAAATGGTTAATTTTTTTTTTTTTCATTCACCAGTGACTGATGTTGTTAAATGCCTTCTCTCCCCTCAGAGCACGAACAGTTTCCCCTTTGCATACAGCTCTCCTTCAAAGTGGGTTTCATAGCAACTTGGGCTCCACGAAGGCAGCAGGTAGATGCTTGGAAAGCACATGGGAATGCACTGGCCTTCCGGTCTATTTTCTGGCTTATCCAAAGCACTGATCAGCCCCTGATGGGATGTTCTTTTGGTCTGCCGAGTGAAATTATTCGGCCAAGCCAGTCCCCCCACCAGAATTTGTCTGCATTTGGAAATCCCTGGTTCCCAGACCTGTTGACAATTCCATGACCTTGCATCTCCTCGTGGCCATTGGGATTTGCATTTTCCCCCTCCTCTTTTCCAGCAGTATCCTAGACCCCCCCCTCCCCCCAGATTGCATCAAAACCCACCTGCTGTTCAGTCTCCAAGCCTCCTCTCTGCCTTCGATGGAGCTGGGTTGAAAAAAGTACAGGGGGTTTCACAGTCAGAAGTTATTGAACGTGCTCTGAACATGAAGCCAGCACCTGCTCCCCCTACCCTGTCCCTTCTCTTTTTGTCCCCAGCCCAGAGTGTTGCTTCTGGTCGCTAATCTTATGGTCTCTTCTCCCCCCCACCCACTCGATTTGTCCCCTGTTTTTTTTTTGACAACAGCACTTCCAAATCGGTCGTTGAAAAAGCCCAGTCTTGATCGGAGCCAGCTGGGTAATTACAGACCTGCCTTCGATCTGCCTTTCCCGGCAAAGGTTTTGAGCATGTGGTGGCTTCTGAACTCCTGAGAGTGTTTGGTTTTGGATGATAACTATGCATCATTCCTATTTGGGTTTGACCATTGACATCATACAGAGACAGCTCTTGTCCAGGGTACTAAACAATTTCTTAATGACAGTACTTTGCAGGTGTGTTTCAGGCACATTGGTTTGGATCTGATCCTTCGAAGAGAGGCAATCCTGTTGCTCTGGTCTGTCTTTCCTCTAACCCTCCTCCACCCCTCTCATTCCCTCAGGTGTTCCCCATGGCTCTAATCTGGGACCCCTGTTTGTTAGCATCTACATGTGTGAGGAGTGCAGCTCTTCCCTGCCCCTACCGGGATTTGATCCTAGTCGCTCGCGAGAATCCGAGCACGCGCAGCGCCACTCTGTAGACTCATGCCATAAGTCCGGGCCCAGCAGCAGAGCTCGACACGGTCTAGCCTTCAAAGGGGGGTGATGTCGCTTCTGTAACTGCTTCCTGTTGGGTCATAATATTCACCACCGTGGTGTAAAATGGCATCTAAATTCGTAAAATTCCTCAAATCGAAAATCTGTGGATTTTCTGATCCTGACATTGCTGTCTCTGTTGTGTCCCACTGTTGTGGTGAGCTAAAATTTGGATTGCCAAGTCAGAACGTTCTGCATGTAGTTGACCTATCTGACAGGAGAGAAGACTTCCTGTTCTTTCACGAGATTGGTATTGAACTCAGCGCTGACATTTGAGAAACCTGGTGTCATTATGGAGCCCTATTTTATTTCTTGGAAGTTCTTGGAAGTAACGTTCAAACAATGGTTCATTAACCTCCTTGTTTGCCTTTGAGGGATGCTGAGAGAATTAGTCCATGCCTTCATGATTAGATGAGATGGCCAAAACACTCTGGGTCATGGATTTGCCATCAGTACTTCCCAGAATACTGCTGCTCGTGCCTTACTTCATATCTGACCATATTTCACTAATTCTAACTCCTTTCTGTTGAATACCTCTGAAATATAGAATTGCTTATAAATTCCCTTGTTGCACACACATAAAGCACATGGTGGAATGGCAGCTTCTTGCACTACATATCTCCCCAAGCAAGAGATCCCGTTGTTACTGAGGTCATTCTTTCCCAGATTCCAGACTGCTCGCTCAGGGTGACAGGACGGTTTGTCTTCTGCCAACACACAGCTGTTTTTCTTTCAGTAAGATCTAATTTACTGACTTGAGCAGTAGTTGCCTTGATTTTTATTAACTATTTTTTTGTGTGAAGTTACTTGAGGGATTTGACAGTGAAAGGCACTGTATTAAAGCACAGTGGCACTGTCAAAAAAATCAAAGCACGTTCCCTACAGTAGATAAAAGCCTGTGAATTGTGATGTAGAGATAATACTAGATATCCTTATAGATCCCTCTTTTACGATCTCATCACTTACTGCACATCTCTATATTATATAATATTTAAGCAGATTTATAAAGCTGAGAACATTATTCCAATAGATACCTGCACCAGATTTCCCTTATAAAGGCCTGTGTACAGTGCTTGAAAGATGACGGTAGCAGATTCCCTCATAAAAGCCATGAAAAGTATTTAAAGAGACAGTCACGCTGGATTCCCTTCAAAACATTGGTTAAAGAGATATCTGGACCAGATGCTCCATTCAACATCCATGACCCTTATTTCACAAGCTAGGCACTCCAGATTCCATTGCAAAAGCCAGGAAACAATGTTTAAAGAGTTATACAAGTAGCCAAACCAAATTACCTTTTACAATCCAATAAACAGCCGTTAGAAGAGACAGATGTACAATACTCCTGTGTAAACACTTGAAAACAGTGTTGAGGAGAAAGCTGCTCCTAAAAAAATGTTTGTGAAGTGTTTTTAAAGAGCTTTTCTCTCCGGGTTCCCTAATAAAAGCCCGTGAACAGCATTTAAAAAGATAGGTGCACCACATGGCTTGTGGGCAACGTTCAAAGTAATATCTGCATCAGATTAATTTATCAAAGCCTGTGGGCAGTGTTTAAAGTTATA